TCATATTTTAAACAAATTTTATAGATGTATTTGTAATTTGTTAAAAAAATAAAGAATTATGCTTCATAATTGACCAAGAATGTTTGCATAATTACAAAAAAACTTGTTTTATGATTGACCAAGAATATTCGCATAATTATGAAAAAGACTGTTGCATAATTGACTAAGAATGTTTGCGTAATTACGAAAAAACCTTTACTCAACATATAAGACACCATTAGTAAATTATTCAAAATAAAATGACAAAATCAGAAGGAAAAATCAAATCTCAAGCAATTAAGCAATTCTTATATATATTTATATAATAAAGCAAGACGATTTTTGAATCTATCCAACACACATTTGTCCTACTAGGACATTTGAACGGCTCAGATCTATTCAATTTATAAAATAACGGCTAGAATATATTTTTTTTAAAATATCCTACATGTACATTTTCTATTTTCCCGCTTTTCTCTCTTACTTTTTCCTTTTCTCACCCATCCTTCTATTCCTTTCTCTTTTCTTTTTATTTTTTTATTTTCTCCCATTTTTATTTTTCTCTCTATTTTTTTTTATTTTCTCCTTTTTGTTCACTTATTTTTTATTCATATTATATGAAAAAGTCTGCGATCCCAGAATTAGGAGCCAGATTTTATTCTGTGTAGTGGAGATTAAATTAATGAATTTTACAGTCCACAAATTAAATGAATTTGAACAATTAATTATTATTTTTAAATATATTGAATACATGATAGACTTTATAAATTTAGATCTCATTGAATCTTCAACATCTATATAATAAAGCAGGATGGTTTTTGAATTTGTCCTACACACATTTGTCCTACTCGGACATTTGGATGGCTCAGATCTATTCAAATTATAAAACAACGGCTGAAATATATTTTCAAAAAAATATCCTACATGTACATTTTCTATTTTCCTGCTTCTTTCTCTTATTTTTTTTTCTCACCCATCATTTTATGATCCCATGTTCCTCTCTCTTTTCTTTTTATTTTCTCCCATTTTTTATTTTTCTCTCTATTTGTATATTTTTTTTATTTTTTCCTTTTTGTTCACTTATTTTTATTCATGTTATATAGAAAAGTCCGCGATCTCAGAATTAGGAGCCAGATATTACTGTGTGTAGTAGAGATTAAATTAACAAATTTTATAGTCCACAAATTAAATGAATTTGAACAATTAATTATCATTTTTAAATATATTGAATACCTGACAGATTTCATAAATTTAAACCTCGTATGAATCTTCAATATCTATATAATAAAGCATAATGGTTTTTGAATTTGTCCTACACACATTTGTCTTACTAGGACATTTGGATGCCTCAGATTTATTCAAATTATAAAGCAACGGCTGAGATATATTTTTCAAAAAATATCCTACATGTAAATTTTCTATTTTCCCGCTTCTCTCTCTTACTTTTTCCTTTTCTCACCCATCTTTCTCTTATCCCACTTTCCTCTCTCTTTTCTTTTTAATTTTTTTTTATTTTCTCCCATTTTTATTTTTCTCTCTATTTATATATTTTGTTTAATTTTTTCCTTTTTATTCACTTAATTTTATTCGTATTATATGGAAAAGTCTGCGATCTCAGAATTAGGAGCTAGATATTATTGTTTGTAATAGGAAGGTTTTTAAATATTCAACATATTTTTGTCCTACTATAACTTTTGGATGGCTCAGATCTGTTTAAATTTTAAAACAATAGCTGAAATATATTTTTCAAAAAATCTCCTACATGTACATTTTCTATTTTTCCGTTTATCTTTCTTACTTTTTCATTTTCTCACACATCCTTCCATGATCCAGTGATCCCACATTCCTCCCTCTTTTTATTTTATTTTTTTTATTTTCTCTCATTTTTATTTTTTTCTCTATTTGTTTATTTGTTTATTTTCTTTTTTTGTTCAATATATTTTACACATATTTCTATACAATATATGTATGCCCATAATACACTATGACATTATGGGCATACATATAATTTCCATATAATTATATAAGCAAAAGCATTATTGTATGTATACTCGTGAAAATTGTATATATGCCACATACATCTATCTATCTTGTTATATATTGTATAAGTAAAAATGAGTTTTCGTGAGGAGTTTTATGAGAACTCCAAAATTTTATAATAAATTTATGAATTTATCAAATTAAAAAATAAATTTAAATAGTATTTAGATTACAATTATATTTTAATTCTAATATTATTTATATCTTGCTTTCAATTATAAACATACCCTAGTATATATATATGGTGAATTATAATCGTATCTACAATTATGAGATTGAATCATATCCGATAATTCGAAGTAACTAAAATAAAATCAACCTACAAATCGTAGGATGTCAATTTTCAATAACACCAAAAGTCGAGCTCAGCAAAATCTAGAGGTTTGCTATAGTAACGGACTACGATATTCTCTATGAAGAATTTTTTTTACATATTTAATGGTAATAAAATAAAAATAAAAATAAAAATAAAAATAAAAATTTATAATTATTTTAAATTTAAAAAAAAAATCATTACACTTATTATTAAATGATATAATAAATCTTAAATTATTTTAAATTAAAAATTATTACACTTATTATTAAATGATATAATAAAACCTTTTTATTATAAATAAGAACATGATATATAAGACCATCTCCAACGGTGAATCAAACAATTGGAGAATATATGAAAAATTATATTACTTTTAATATTCTAATTGATTATCACATTATTAAACTTAAAAATTAAATTATTTTTTTATTTTAAATAATAATACACTTACAAATATATAATAGAGACGATCACAATCTCTATCCAAATAAGTAACTTGATATCATAGAAGATTCTAATTTCTCATTCGAATATATCAAATTCAGATGTGATTTAACCTCCTAAATCACATAAACAACTCAAAATTATTTTCCCACTCTTACAAATATACAATAAAGTGGATCACAATCTCTTTTCCCCACCCCGGTTATTTGGTGAACTGCAAGCAAGGATGATTTGGGCGAACGTATATGCGGCATACTTTTACTGGGGTGGGAAAAAAAGTTGTTGAAAGACAGTTGCTTAGCGATGATTGCTGATTGCGAGTTGATTGTGACAAGTTTTATTAATAGAAAAATAATTCATTCTCTCACAAAAAAATTTCTCACAATAATAGAGTTATTTTGAAAAGATAGTTATAATCAACTTTTTAGTGAAAAACTGTTTATAAGTAATTTTTTTGTGAGAGAGAAAATGGATTATAATCTGAAAAGTGGATTATAACCCACTTCTCAAAATAGGCCAATATTTGGTCAGTAATTTCTTATTGATAAGAATTCATTCACTCACTTTATAGCTGTGAATTCCTATTGATAAAAAATTGAGATGTCACACTGTCTTCATAGATGCAAGTCTAAAAAGTATTTTTACTTGACTTTACCTTTAATCAGAGTTGAACCTTTAATCTTCCTTACATGAAGAATGAAGAGATGTCGATAGAAACCTTGTGGGCATATATAGATTGCATCTTCAATAATGTTTCTTTGTAATTTTTTTGGATAATTGCACAAAGTGAAATTTTAATTGAAGTGTAAAAGAATTAAATATAATCTACCCAACATTTTGATAAGAAGGAAAATAAAGAGCAAGTTAAATACACTAACACTCCATTTGGTTCATAGGAATGAGTTGGAATGGAGTTGAATGATTATTTCTTAAATTCACCTAAGGAATAATCATTCTCTTACAATGACAAATAACGATTCCATTTACAATATATTTTTTACTATTTTTTTCGTCAACCAAATACAAGAATGGAAGGCGAATTACATTAACGGTCCTTGTAATTTGAGAGTTATGTCACTTTGGTCCATGACCTTTTAATTGTGATACATTTGACCTTAAATTTTAAATCTCATTCCAAATAAGGACAATTTAAGATATTATTGTTCCATTTCAAGGACAGAGTCGCCAATTTGATAAAACATAAAATAGTTTGACAAAAATAAAGCTCTTTTGAATTTTTAAAAATTATTACTACCCATCAAAGATAAAATTATATAAAAATGATAAATATTTTATTTTTTTATCAAATTAATTTTTAGTATATATTTAGATGATGATCATGTAATGGATGGTTGTCTTTGGTGATATTTTTAAATGGTTATCATGTAATGGATGATTATTAGGCTTTCAATGTATAATTGATATGTTTAATATATGAAATATTTTTTGTTTTGAATTTTTTGATTTAATGGATTAGTATAATAATAACATCAAAGTTGTAGTCATGTTTAACTTTTGAAAAAATAAAAATTAATTTAACGAAAATAAATATAATAAAAAAATTATTTCTACCCTCCCAAAAGATAAAATTATATAAAATGATGTGTTTTTAATTTTTTTTACCAATTTAATTTTTAATTTCTTAGAAAAATTTTCTAAATTCTGAAAGACAAACCAAACAAAACTTTATAACTAAAAAAATCTCAGCATTATTCATTAAAAAAAATGTCATAACATTTCAAACAACATACAACTTCTTTTTTTTTTAATCGACAAATGTTAATTGTTAGTTGTTAGATTAGCACCAATGAAGAAAAATCTCTTCACCCAACGGAATGCAGGGTGACCAACTAAGTTATATAACGACTTTACCTTTGAAATGAACAGTTTACAAAAGAAACTTTTTTTATTGTTCTTGTTTAGAACAAAATTTAAAGTTCAAAATCAAATGTATCACAATTAAAAAATTAGATACCAAAGTGATACAAGTCCTAAACTAGAATTCACCCAAGAATGAATATTTTGATGCAATGATCATTTCATTCCAATGAACCAACAACTACCTAAATAATCAGCCATCCTCTTTTTTTGCTCATGTTGACTACAACATTTTACTCTATTATTCAAATAAACCATTTTAAAAAATAAATTAAAATAAAAACAGGACACACAGCACAACACAATTCGTTCTTACATGATATATTCATTTATGGTTCTTGTGCATTCCTATATATGACACTCATTTTTTATATTTACACATCAATGATATCATGTGTCGTACTCGTTGGACGTCTTATTATAGAAGCGGTCATGCACAGATTCCATATCTGAAGCAGAAATCATCAACCAATGGCCTCAATTGGCCTGATTGTATCCATTCTGTAATTCTCTATTCGTCAGTTCACACGTGAAATGGGACTTAAGTCCAATCCAGCACTGGTAATAATCAGGATCGATGGAGGGAGACTCGAGAGCCCATGGGCAGATTCGGGGTATTAGACAAGACTCAAACATGAAAGCCATGGTATCAGCTATTCTCTGTGGCCCTGCTTCATTTCCAAGTGCAATTGTCGCCTGCGAGACGAAAGGAACAACACTCTTAGTCCACAACTGTTGAGGATGACATTAGCAATCATTTCATGAAATAAAAAATTAAACGACCCAGTCAACCAATCATGTACTGAGAAGAGGTCTGTTAGTGAATATTATATTTTAATATTCACTAAAAAATTAAACGACCCAGTCAACCAATCATGTACTGAGAAGATGTTACAATCATGTACTGAGAAGATGTTAGTGAATATTATATTTTAATATTCACTAACAAGGTCGCCCAACTATTAGGCCACACCCAAGAAAATCTAAAAAAAATCTTATCATCTAAGTTCCAATTTTTGAAAGACCAATAAGATAATCCCGATTTTTGGGTGCCGAAGAGAAAATGAGACAAAACAATATGGACAAAAAAGTTACCTCATAAGTCTTTGTATCGGGACCATGGGGAGTCATGCAGCTATGAAGGCTTGCACCACCTGGGAGAAACCCATCTGCTTTTGCCTGAAAACAAAGTTGTATATCGATTGAAAATGATGATATAGAGCAAAAAATTATATTCAACTCTTAAGTGGGGTTTGTGCAAATGCTAAACTAAAGCTTTATAATAAATAATTAAAAAAAAAAATCTACAATTTTTTAATTATAATTTCATTTTTAACATAAGGGCACTCGTGTTGGGCCACAAAGATTGAAGAACTCCGTTGGCCTCCTCTCCACAAGCCTAGAAATTGAAAAAAGCGCATGGTTCCAAGATCCCATGTTTGAGTGGTTTTCATGTAAATGTACATGGTAATTTTGAGATCTTCCTAAAACTGGATTCTATCAAAATCAAATCCAGTAGTTTAAACCCTGCACCACCCCATTTAGAGGTGGCAGGTGATACCACTTAAGTGAACAGCCAGCACCAGGAGCCCTTTTCTTTTCCTCGCCCAACCCAAATGGACCCCCACCCTCTTCAGTTCGAAGTTCTAACCATGGTTGCTAAAATCGGGATCCTACATGTGATCGGTGAGAGAGTCTCGTGGATCGGATCGTAAGATTGGATAGATAATTATAAGATTCTACTTTCTATTAATAATAAGATAAAAATACAAATCAAGATGATAGACATTAAAGAAAAGGTGTAAAATCATAAATCTAATGAGCCTACTTACGATCCTACCTATGATCCTATACAATCCTACTATAATATCGATCCTACCATGATTTGGATCTTTTTGACAATTTAGGATCATAGGATCGTACGATCCTACAATCCATGTCACAATTTTGATAACCATGGTTCTAACACATAAAATGAGGACTATTTTTTCAGTTGTGTAAAACACTGATTAAAGTAAAGCAAAAAGTCACCATAATCCAAAACAAATAAAATTTCAAAAGTTCAAGAGGTTTACCTCATATCCTCCATGAATCAAACCCATAAATTCACTCATACAATTGCGATGGTAATATGGAGGCCGGAAAGTATGCTCAGCAACCAACCACCGGGGAGGGAAAACGACAAAATCAAGCAATGCCACACCAGGTTTATCTGTTGGTGCTGTCAGCACTGCATTCAATTCAGCATAAATTAAAAACCAATCATGTTAAACATTGGTATAAACAAACAAACAAACAAGCAATAAAACAAGTAAAAAGAGTCAAGAAACCACAGCAATAGATCTACCGCACCTGTATTTATTGATGGATCACTATGATCGAACAGAACAGTATTATACGGGCAGAACTTACTTAACTCATACTGCAAGGAATGGAATTTCATTCCATCAGTTCTACTGAGATATTAAATGAGTCCAAGACAACTTAGATGCAAAAAAGATGCATGGACAACACCTACCATTTAGTCCGTAAATGCCGAAGTATTATATTCAAACAGATACCAACCTTAAATGGGGCATAATTACCATGCCAGGCTACCACATTGAATGGTGAGAAATCCTGTTTTGCAGTGAAAAGTTCACCACCAAACTTCTGTACAATGGTATATCCCGGACGGGGGCTATCTTCAAACCAGGCTGTGGGAACAAGGAAATCCCGTGAAGCAGCGAGACCATTAGCACCTACACAATAGAGAAAGAAAATTTAGGATTTATATGACTCTTGAGTTTTAAATGCTCAGTAAGATAACCTGATATAATATGTTTTGAAAAAAATAGTGTAGTCACTTGTAATCATGGCTTACAATAAAAATTATGTACCTATTGGCCCAAGATCAGGAAGTTGAAAATGGGTACCGAAAATCTCAGCAACATAACCACGTGATGGGCCATCTGGCAGGTCAACAACGAAACGAAATCCTTGAGGTAAAACAACAATCTCACCAGGAGACACTTGCAATCTTCCACATTCAGTTGTGATCCACAATCCTGTATAAAGAATAAGGGAAACTCTTTTCATACAGTTCTTTATATCATATATTACAAAGACACCAGTCTTGAAGGCAGAACTAGGAAATAGTTGAGGAGGATCATGGATGTGTTACAGACCAGAGAAAATGAAAGAAGAAAATTTAAGCAATTAACAGTTCTAGGAAATAATATAAGTTAGAGAGGAAATTGTGTTAAATGCACAGAAACTGTAATGGCAATAGGCTCAGTCAAAAATAGATCCCTGATAGAGGACAAAACAAAAATGACCCTCAGGCAGAAGCCAAATGATGAATGGGAATTTTTGTCAAAAGAATCCACTTAAAAGGAAATATCACATAAGGGACCTACGTATAGGTCTTAATAAATGGACTTATTGTCCAATAGGTGCTATGATAATTAATGACAATTTTCATCAAACACTATTAAAAAACATCACTAATTGTTAATTTTTAGCAACAGTTTGAAATGTAACAAAAAATGTCACTAATTACAAGTTTTAACGACAGTTTAAAAAAATCGTCACAAAAAAGTTGCTAATTTCAACTTTCAGAGATAGTTTGAAAATTTTATCATAGAAAAATCTCACTAATTGTAAGTTTTAGCGATAATTTATAAAAACCATGACTAAAAAAAGTTACTCATTGTCAATTTTTAGCTACATATGCAAAAAATCATCGCAAAAAGTTATTTTTAACGGCGATTTTATTATGACTTCTTTTCAATAGGACTTGATGGGAATTAAATCCAACTATTAAGATCTATTGATAGTTTACCTGGAGAACTTACATGTAGGTCCTAATAGGTGGACTTATTGTCCAATAAGTCCTATAATATTTAATGGCGTTTTTCATCAAACACTATTAAAAAAACGTTATTAATTGTTATTTTTCAACGACAGTTTAAAAATTGTCACAAAAATATCACTAATTATAAGTTTCAGCGACAGTTTAAAAAAATCATCACAAAAAAAAAATCACTAATTTTCAACTTTCAGCGACAATTTCAAAAATTCGTCACAGAAAAAGTCACTAATTGTAAATTTTGACGACAATTTATAAAAATCATAGACAAAAAAAAGTAGCTAATTGTTAATTTTTAGCAACATATGCAAAAAATCATCACAAAAATTTATTTATAGTGACAATTTTACAAGGACTTATTTTCAATAGGACTTTATGGGAATTAAGGCCCCGTTTGGAGACTTACATTTTTAGCTAATTAGCCAAAAAGTTACTAAATTAGTCAAAAAGCCAACAACTCATACCAAAAAGTCAAAGATTCAAGTTTTTTTTACCTACCTTTTTAACCAAATAGTCAAAAAGTTACTAAATTAGCCTGTTCCCAAACAAGGCCTAAGTTCAACTATTAGGACCTATTGGTAGTTTACCCATATCATAAAAATCATTGATTGCTTCTTAAACAACTGCAGTAAAGGAGAAATGTGTTCCCCTCTCAAGTGACAAAGACCAAAATACTTCTACATTTTATTATATGCCTTTCAACAAAAGACCACTTCCTAAGTCCTAAAAACCTAAGTGTGAAAAGTCTGAATTTCATATGTAAAACCAATTACTTAGATGACAAATACATTTTGGGGGTTAAATTGAAAGATGGCACCCATAAACCATAACTGCTTGAAAAAAGAAAGAAAGAAAAAAAGATGAGCATCGCTTACTTCCTTTTTGAGGAACAATCAAAAAGTCACCATCAGCATTGCAGAAGGCACAATTGTCCATTGATTTGTTGGCAGTGTACCTGCATTTCCACACATCAGTTGCATATTAAAAAGCAGATATATTCACATTCAACTACCACTGATCCAAATCTACATTTAAGAGCTTTACAAAAGATACATATTCAATTTCAAACTAGCCCATAGGTTCTTTGGAATTTGGATGTGTTTTAATCTGGTACATTCATAGATGAAAAACAACCTTTTGCATTCTTTGTATCCTCTCAGAAGAATAAAAAAAAGTATGCCCCTGCTATTATTACAAATATACAAATATATTTGCACATAATTTGGATTGGACATTTTTCATGAGCATTTCCAAACCAGTTTTTTTTGTCCACAAACATAAATCCAACTAGTAATTTCAAAAAATTGAAGTTTATATAAGATCATGGTCTCATGTTCCACTTCAACACTAACCAATCATGGTCACAGAAACTAGTCAACTACATATATACACAAACATACATACATGACTAAAAGAATCTGACAGTCCATCATTGACACTGGATCTTGTAGCTGTCAAGGTAGTATTTCCCAAGTCCCAAAATAAATCAACATAAAAGTCACTGATTTAAATAATGGTGACAAATATTTTGGGGTGGGGGGGGGGGAAATGCTTATGAAAACGGTAATCTCTGTCTCTCCTTTTCTTTTCCTTTGTGTGTAATTTTAGACTGTTTTTCTACTCTTAATACTTGACCTAGGTGAGTTCCAATGCTTATTATGAGAATGATATATATAACCGCATGAAATAAGTAAACTAAGTTCGGAATTCCAATTACATGTGAATGGCAAAACCATGCCGAAGGTATGAGCTGCCAGCCCCACACACTGTATATAAACCATCAATAAAATCAGTTGGTGTATCAGGAATTTCTACAGGCTTCCAACGTAATTGAGTTGGGTTGGCAGAGCTGTTGGACTGGTTAAATTCACTGACAAGCTTCTCATGACTTGGTACTCGAGGTTTAAATGGGTCGTGTGTAACTGATGGTTTGACACGATATAGCCAACTGCCAAGAAGAAGAAAACATAAACATATCAATAAAGGATCACTATTAGGATTGATAAAATTATAGCAGATGAGCAATTAACATGAGTAGTGACATAAACAAGACCACCATTTGCTAGAGCAAGAATGATTCCAAGATATATAGATGACCTCTGTTCTTATTTCTTAAAGAACCAAGATATGAAATAGACCTGGTAGAGACTCAAAATTCAAGAGAAACTTGGTTTCACCATAAAATTTTAAGCCTGGATTAAATAGAATAACCCCAGGAAAATTTTAATCATACCTACAAATGTTAAAACAATGGGAAACTGATCACATAACTTTGCGCATATCCAGTCCTTACCCTTTATCCAAATTTAAATCGGAGTTAAAAAATTTCAAAACCGTCTCCACTTCTTTACTAAAACTAGAATGAAAATGAGTTTTACTCAAATCAAGAAAGACTCTCATATGTTTGCTCAAAATTCCTATATGAAAATGAGTTCTACTCATTCTTTTACTCAAATCAAGAGTCATAATTTTACTCAAAAATTTGAAGGCCACTTTCAAATTTATTACTATGCTATTAAAAAAGTTTTTCACTTAAATTTGAATTAAAATTTGAACAAAGGCGGGTGATGGGGAACCTAAAAATAAAATTAGAAAATGAGTGTTAAAACCTATCACCTACTTCACCCACTTAAACCTACTCCACTAAACCTAACCCACTAAATCCACATACTCTCCACCTACTTCACCCACTTAAACCTACTCCACTAAACCTAACCCACTAAATCCACATACTCTCCACCTACTTCACCCACTTAAACCTACTCCACTAAGCCTAACCCACTACACCACTACCACCTCCACTTCACCTACTCCTTACCTACTACACACTCACCCTCTTCTATATATAGGAATCATGAATCATTGTAATAAATATAACATTATATCAATCAATAATACATCAATTTTAACAATGAGCAATTCTGAATCCAATTTTCTAAAGAATCAGTTGCCTCCTCTCGAATTTCACACATAATATTAAGCCAAATGAAGCTCAAATTTCAGAATTAACACCTATTTTCCCTATAATTCCTCCCTAGATCATGATAACAACCACCTAGAATGACATACATGTAGAGAGAGAGAGAGGTGGACGGATAATTTTCTACAGAAACAGCTGTCTCCGCTCGAATTTCGCACACTATTAAGCTAAATAAAACCCAAATTCCATAAATAACACCTAACTTCTCAATGATTCCTTGCAAGATCATGTTAAGTAGAGGTAGACTGATAATTTCCTAGAGAAACTGCAGTTTCCGCTCAAATTTCACACATAATTAAGCTAAACAAGGCTCAAATTCTAGAAATAATACCCATCTTCCCAATGATTCCACGCTAGTGTCAACAACAACCTAGAATACTATAAATGTAGAGAGAGTAGAGAGAGTAGAGAGAGACAATTGGTAATTTTCTCGGAAATTCTACTATATATACACGGGTAATAATACATCCCACTAAAAGTGGTGCCCTAAAGCACCACTAATGAGTTGACAAGCACTTTAACCAAAAAAAAGAAAACACAAGACACAAGCTGTGAGTCCCGTCTACTGCCACATCACTAGTGGTGCTTTTAAAGCACCACTTTTAGTGATCACTAGTAGTGCTTTTAGAGCACCACTTTTAGTAGTCTCAACCATTATTGATATATACACCCCCTAGTGGTATACCACCTAGTTATGCTATTTACTTTTTTTGTCATGACTAAAATTTTTTGTAGTTATCACAATATTTTAGTTATAATTTTAGCTATGGTTTATGTGTTATTTAATTATGATATATTTTTAGTTATAACGTAAAAAGTACGGAGTTATGCTTTTTTTTTTCTTCCTTTATAAGGTGTCCATGCTACCAAGAGTTTCCCTAATTTTCTAGAGAAACAGCAGTCTCCGCACGGATTTTGCACCTAATTAAGCTAAATCAAACTCAAATTCTAGAATTACACCTACGTTCCCAATGATTCCTCCCTAGATCATGTCAACAACCATATATATGTAGAGAGAGAGAGAGAGAGAGGGGGGGTGGACTGATAATATTCTGGAGAAACAGCAGTCTCCACTCGAATTTCGCACATAATTAAGCTAAACAAAACTCAAATTCCAGAAATAACACCTACCTACCCAATCATTCCTCTCTAGATCATGTCAAAACAACCTATCGCGATTCTGAATTTAAAGAGCCTGATTACAGGAGAGAGAGAGAGAGAGAGAGAAGCTACGCACCTTCGCTGGTTGAGTTTGCGAGGGGCAGTGAAAGCAGTGCCGGAGATCTGCTCGGCGTAGAGGCCGTAAGGGCAGACGAGAGGGCTGTTCTGGCTCTCAGGTAGAGCTCCGGTAATCGCCTCCGACGAGAAGTGGTTTCCGAAGCCGGACTGGTACTCCAAATTTGCCGGAAAATCAATATTCTTGGACCCCATGAGTCAACAAACTTTCTCGAGAATCGAACAGAGAGAGAGAGAGAGACAGAGAGATAGCGGGAAGAGTGAAGGGGCGAATAAATAAATAGTTGAGCGAGAAGGGATGAGCTTTGATTAGTGTGAACCAATACCACCGTGGCAACCTGATCATCAGGATTCGAAGAGACGTGTATGTATTGTACAGAAATTTCTCCCTGGGACACACTCACAGAATTGTATGCTTCGGATATAGCCTTGCTGATAAAAAAAACAAACAAGTTGTGGCCTTGGGGAGCAAAAATATAGGGGGGCCTTAGGGCAAATATTAGGGCTAAGTCCAGTTTAATGCAGGAAGTTTAGAATGATTTTTTGAATTTATGGTTCGATTTCGGATTGAAAAATTAAAAATTTCTAATTTACGAATTGGTTCCAGATTGAACCCCACGATTCTAGATTAGAACCGATCCGGACCGTGTATAAATAGTCTATATTTTTATTATACACCTTCATGTATAGTATCTTCTTTTATTTCATATAAAACTTAATCTAAACCTAAACTTGCATAGTATCTTTTTTTATTACTTTTGTTTGTTAGTTTTTAGTATTAATTTGTAATGGTCTAAATACTTATGGTGGAACTAGTTTTCTTATGTTTGTTTAAATTCTATAACAGTTTGTTGTTATTATGAAAAGACATATTGCTATTGTGAAATTAATATAGTGCTATATTTATATTTTTATGAAATTAAAGTGTTATATATATTTTTTTGTTATTTAATTATGTAAATCTGTGATCCTAAACCGATCTAATCCGTATTTAAATGGATTGGCTCGGATTGATTCTACGATTTGAACGAATTGGATTGGTTCTAATTTTTCAGGATCCGTAGATAACAGATTGATTCTGATTTTACTCTAATCCGATCCAATCCGGATCATACTCACCCTGGCAAATATTTGTGTTGTTCTATCATGATTTTGACTTCTTGATTGGTTGAAATACCATAATTTAAGATAATTATGAATACACTTTTTATAGTTTGCTTGAAATATCAATTGTCTCATATAATTTTAAAAATTACACTTCACTCTTTAAGTTTCTGATCGCATAACAAATAACTTATTTTAGTAATAAATTATCAAGTCAATTAATAATTTTAAATTATGTCATAAATATGTTTTAATTAATAATTTAGATCATTTTATTATTATATGAGAGCATAGTTAGAAATATCGTTTTTTTTCTGTTAATTTTGTTGAATAAAATTTTTTGACAAGGTGTTATTTGTAATTTTTATAAACACAGAAGATTTTTTGTAGCTTAAACAAAATCTCAGGGAATATATTTATAATTTATCTTATAATTTAATGCTTTTGAAAAAAAAATTAAAAAATCCAAAATTTTATTTTATTAATTTAAATCTTGAATTCTTTTTATTCGTTTTCAATCTCGACCATCTGTCTATTTCTATTGGGTAAATTGACGAAAAAAATATTTTAATCATTAAATTCAACAAAAAAAAATATTTTAGGCATTTAATGTATATTTACATTGAGTTTGATGACTTACTTTTTTTTCGTCAATTTTTCTTAATAGAAATGGACTGATTGTTTGGATTGAAAACAAATTTTAATTGATAAAATTAAAATTTTAAATTTTGTTTTGATATAAGGGTTAAAGTTTCGATTTTTTTTTTAAAAAAATTATTTTGTTGGTTTTTGAAAATTAATTTGACAAGTATCCTCTTATGAATGGATTGGTGTATTGCTCAATACCACTGAATAATTTCTCCCCCGATGCAGTGCTGACGGATTGCTGAATTCTGTGTTTGGTAACATTTACGTTTTCAGTTTATATTTACAAAAAATTTATAAACTGATTTTTGTTTATTTTTCGTTTATTTTTAGAAAAACATAAACTACAAGCACGTTTGGTAATTGACAAAATGTTTAAAAAAATTTTAAAAAATAAAAAAGAGTGAGAAATGGCAAGTGGTGGCAGAAGACGATGGTGAAAAGTGGTGACAGTGGGTGGTGATGGGGAGTGAGTGGGTGACAGTGGTGGGTGGTAGCGAGTGGGTGGTGGTGGTGGCAGGTGGGTGGCGGGTAGCGGGTGGTAGGTGGTAGCGAGTGGGTGGTGGTGGTGGGTGCTGGGTGGTGGTGGCAGGTGGGTGACGGGTGGATGGTAGGTGATGGTAGGTGATGGTGATGGTGATGGTGATGGTGGTGGCGGTGGGTGGTGGTGGTGATAGGTGGGTGGGTGACGATGGCGGGTGGTAACGAGTGGGTGGTGGTGGTGGGTGCTGGGTGGTGGTGGTAGGTGGCGGGTGATGGTGGTGGTGGTGGTGGTGGTAGTGGGTGGGTGGGTGACAGTGGCGGGTGGTAGGTGGTAGGTGGTAGCGAGTGGGTGGTGGTGGTGGGTGCTGGGTGGTGGTGGCAGGTGGCGGGTGATGGTGGTGGTGGTGGTGGTGGTAGTGGGTGGGTGGGTGACAGTGGCGGGTGGTAGGTGGTAGGTGGTAGCGAGTGGGTGGTGGTGGTGGGTGCTGGGTGGTGGTGGCAGGTGGGTGGTGCTGGCAGGTGGGTGGTTGGTGGTGGTGGTGATAAGTTCATCATTTAAAAGTGTAACAAATAAAAAATAATAATAAGAATAATAAGAATAATAATAATAAATAAAATAAAATAAAAAAAATTATATTTTATTGT